CTATACAAAGACATTCAAGCTTATCTATAATGACCTCAGTTCATTGACTTTTTCCTTCAAAGGGAGATGTTGTATACGGAAGGACACGGGAACCGTATCGAGCCTTGATGACTTGTTCTATAAGGGTAATCGAATGCCACAGCAAAGCTAACTTATACTGTTGGCATGAAGCACGGCTTCGGATCGCATTGGCAAAACTGAGGATAAAGCGCTGCCTCCCCGAAGCCGTACCGTAGTGAAGCGTACATACCTCTGTGCTCCTCCCCCCTTTTTGGGCGCCAAAGAAGCAAAACTGCAGAGTCAGTAGGCAGTAGCTGAATCCAATGTTAGACGCGTACGCTGACGGTTGGGCAGGAAGCTGCGATTCGATCAGGCAGGATGGTGAACATAGTCCAACAAAGATCAATTCCCAACTCCTGAAAAGACTGACCGATTCCGAAGAGGCGCGACGTGAGTCGTATCGCCTGGAAAAGCCCGCCATCTGCCCGGCGACAGAGCTGTAGTTGGTGTGCCTCGGGCCCAGCGACGGAGCCCTGGTCCGCTGGGGACCTTGAAAGCCGCCGATTTGATGTCTACAGGCGGGTCTCCGTCTAATTGGGGACGGTGGAGGTCAGACCTCCGGTGGTGAGCGGTCATTAAACGATCATTATGAACAGGCGCAGTCCTACGGCGGCGGCCGGTGAACTGGGACAGAGCTGTGGATGAACTGGTGAACTGTAACAGATCCACTGGGTGAATTGGTGAATTGGGACAGAGCTGCGGGTAAACTGAGATAGACCCGCTCGGTTGGGTTGGCACAGACCCGCTGGGAATTTTCATTTGATTTCATACCCACAACTGTACTTTTTTAAGTAACCAACCAATTTATTTTAACCAATTTATTTTCAAATCGCTGATTCCGCTGACAGCATGCACGCGCGTTGATAAGTGAGGGAAAATTAGTGTCGATTTTACCTCAGCCGGATCTAAATCCCCGGGGATCTAAAACCTTCATCCTCCGCTTACGATCCCGGAAGATTGCATCATCGTCCGTCACGCCCCGCTCATGGGAAAATATTGGACACCTCTCTCAGAGTTTCTCCAGGCATCACCGTAAGTATTAATAAATGAACTGCACGTCTTTCACAGGATGTCTCTGAACGCGAGCGATGGCTAGAGTTTGCCTTAGTACCCCGAACTATACGAACCGTTCCTAAGTGCACTTCTGAGATGATACAAGACCCCGTTTTTTTAAGTTTAGTCTCGGCAGTTCATGTGAGGGAACGATCATTTTCGACACTTACGAGCACAACTGAAAGACGAAAAGATGGCTGCATTAGGAGAATATAGACTTGAGTTTTGAATGCCTGTTTTTTATCTCAGATAATTCGATGATGTTAACCCGCGCCGGGCCGGGGGGGGGTGTTTGAACACCCCCCTTGCGGTTTTTCGCAGATATCTCAGAAACGGCGGCGCGGAGCGCCGCCGTTTTTGGCACACCTGTTCGTGCATCTTTTCCGCACATGTTGTGAAAATTTCAGACCCAGGTCACCTTAGGTCAGGTCACCAGGTCACGCCAAGTGACCTCACCTCAGAAAAAATAAGAATGTTCGTCATAGCTACACCGACTGAACGATTGCCTTGAAACTTTCAGCGATTGATTAGAGCAACACTATCTATAAAATGTATATCTCGGAATTTTGATATCGTTGACCTAAGGTCAGGTCAATTTTGCGGCCTCTCCATTATAAGTCAATGGGAGAAAATTGAAAAGCGCCTGTTTTGCACGAGCGCTATTCTAGACACTCTCAAACATCGAGATGTAGGTAAAATAGACACACTGAACCAGAAAATGGCAACTGTGACCCCTCGTTATGTCCCCGAGGTCATCTCAGGTCACGAACAGAATCTAACAGTTTTTCGATGATAACTTCTGATAGAGGCGTGCTAGAGCGCTGAAAACGCCTTAGATGTGTTCGGCTCGACGTTGCGGATCGACTGATATGCAACATGACCTTTTCCGGTCAGGTCATGACCTTGACCTGAGGTCAAATTTTCAAGTTGACCTTTCAAGGTCAAATTATAGTTCATTCGACGCGTCTCGACGAGAGGAACACGATGCTGGCAAAAGTAATGTCATAGCTCTTTTGAGTCAAAAGTTATTGCCGAAAAAACGTTTTTCGTAAAAACGGCTATTTTTGGAGTTTTTGCCTTCTGGAGGCTAAACCGTTGACCTGAGGTCAAATCTGAAAACATTACTCAGAAAGGTCTGTAAAAGGGCTATCGAATGCGATTTTTTGCGGCGCTGTAGCTCTATCGGTTCCCGAGATAGCCGTTGGCAGTTTCCAAAATGTTGAAATAGTGAACATTTGACCTTTGGTGACCTCTGGTGACCTGACCTTTGACCTGACCCAAAAAATGACCGAAGTGTTTTCGTCCTTATTTTGGACGTTCTTTCGATTGCCGCTTACCGCGTGTCGCTACGTGGCCCAGGAGCCGAGTTAGAAGGGGGGGGGGGTGTTCAAACACCCCCCCGCGGCCCGGCGCGGAATTTCAGAGCACCGGCCCGGCGCGGGTTAATACGAATAAGACAAACATCTCTAGGTGCTATCCTTTGATTTCTTCTTACCTATCTCCATGCGCATAAGTTGTTTTGTTGATATGTTGATATGCAAATGAATTGATATGCAATCAAAGCGAAGGGATCTCAAAGCCAGAAGAAATATCATTATTCAATTACTATCAGTTATGGCTCCCACAATCATCTAAGGTGGGTAAAAACATCCCATGCGAAATCTGCTGACGAAATTTCGGTTAGCTCTGACCTTGCTGTTGGTCTAACAGAGCAGACGGTAGACCGCGAGGTCACTTTTTCAAACCGTCCGCGAGGAGCGGTGGCCGTACTTCCTTATGATAGCACCGGCGCCTGCCTCCGGGTTTTCGCCCATATACCGACCTCCCACTCGGTACAGTCAGCCCGCCGCCCAGCTGACGGGGATGGGAGGGAGGGAAGGGGAGGGTCGGCGGCCCCGCACCCTCTCCTCCGCGAGTCAGCTGGCGTCCAGACAGCGCCGACCGTCTCGGAGCGATCTCCTTTCATTGAGACCGTCTGGGCGAGTTTTGGGGCGAGAAGCGGCATTATGTGCACCGAACGGCTCCAGGCTGAACACAATGAGTCGGGACGGCGTCGGACGGAACTGGTAGGTTTCCATGGGCGCTGATTAGGTGTTCGATTCTCCCTTCAGCCGTTCACATTGGTTTGGTCTGCAGGATCAGCTGGCCAGCCTCCGGGCGGACCGATTGATCCCAGCTGATCCGTGCCGAGTCGTGCCGGCCCGTTTGATCCTGTGATCCTGGCCAGCAATCCGTCCCGTCTGGTTCAGTTTCAAGCCTGGTCGGTGCTGAGAGGGTACCGGTGAAACTCCAGATCGAGCAGGGTGGTGCTGGTGCTGGTGTTGGTGGTGGTGCTGGAAGTGGTTGGTGATTGGTGCCGGTAGCAAGATCTGGTTTGTCCTTCAGTACTTACCCAGACCGCTCCCAACTTACCACGCCTCGGTCCCCTGCTGTTCAGCCAACAGACGGCCAAGGCTGCCCCCGGTAGTAAAACCTTCAGACGGCTAGACAAAACCTTCACTCGGGCGGGCCCTGCGCTGGTTCCCAGGCCAAGCGCGTTCAGTGGCCCAATGTGGGAGCTATGCGGGCGATTCGCCGGCCAACGGAAGGGTAAACGGTGACTGAGAGGGGAGAAACGGTTTTATAGGGAGCAGCGACCAGACAGCAGCTGCTGCCATGAGGGAGGGAGGGGAGAGAGAGAGAGAGAGAGAGAGAGAGAGAGAGAGAGAGAGAGAGAGAGAGAGAGAGAGAGAGAGAGAGAGAGAGAGAGAGAGAGAGAGAATGAGAGAGAGAGAGAGAGAGAGAAAGAGAGAGAGAGAGAGAGAGAGAGAGAGAGAGAGAGAGAGAGAGAGAGAGAGAGAGAGAGAGAGAGAGAGAGAGAGAGAGAGAGAGCTGGAAGAGTTACGTACCTATATAGGTAACTGGAATTCATACATACCACTAAAATAGCATACCACTAAAATACATACCACTAAAAATAATTATATACACAAATCATTTTTCCTTACGATGTCAAGACTCTCCATCGACAATTACCTGCGTTTTTCTTAAATGATATAAAATTGTCAAATACATGTCGGTTGTTGCCTGACTCAATGAAATGGAAATCAAAATAGTGTGAAGATAATGTTAATGTAAATTATTCAGTGTATTATTCAGCACTGGTTACATAAGAATAGACGGGAAGCTTTCAAGGGCCCAAGGTAAAGGTCTAACATTGGGAAAGAACTTCCCGAAGTTTCAGTGTCGTGTGTCAATTCACATTGAAAGTAACATTTGCTACTGGCCAAAATCAATAACAAATTAAAAGCTTTTGAAAGCAAAAATAATTTGTTGTACATATATCATGTTTGCTATACGCCAACATTTGCATTAACGTATATTTAATATTGTTCGGTACGTCTGATCATGATGACGATGTCCTCTTCGATTAGAAAGGTCCTGCTCCATTCCATCCGGCTCCAACTCGGTACCCTGGTTTTAAATATCCTCTTTCCCTAGTATAAGCCCACCCTATTATCACCCGCGGCACCCTTTGATACAGGTCGGCACTCGCCGACAATCCATAATAAAGTTGAACAACAAGGTGATTTACAACCCCGGTCATTTGGGTCCAATTTAGCACGTCTGCCCTCGCAGCGCAAACTTGGCCCTTCGTATCTGCTTCGTGGGAGTTTTTATTCAAGTGACCGCGAATCCTCTGCGAGTGACGCTAGGTCACCGCTGAGGTCACCTGGGGTCACGTGGGACCGACGGAGATGCCCCCGACGCCACCGCCGCGCCTCTGTGACTGGCGATACTCGGGTCACGCAGCGCCGGTGACGTCACGCGGCTGCGTGCGCGGCGGCGAGCTCTGATTGGTCGGCGGCGCCGCCGCTGCCGAACAGCTGGCCTCACCGAAATCAGCTGCTCGCCACTACGCTGCGGAAAGTGGAGCTCGCGCGTCAGTTCTGGCCGGGCTGCCGTGGTGTGTGCACGTGGGGACTTTGGTCCTGCGGGACCTGGAACTTGTATTGACTTGACTGGGGTACGCTCACACTCAGAAGCAAAAACACAGCGGTCATGCTTCCTCACGGCGAATCACAGACGCATACCGGCCGTCGGCACATAAAGAGTGAGCCGGAAGACAGCCTGGTTGACGAAGATATTTTGCGTGTGATTAGAAGTGCAGACAATTCGTCGACGCCGTACACAGATGCCACACAGGTAAGCCACTCAACCTTATCCTATGTGCACCTGAAACTCCCCAAAGCAAAGCTTGGCGTTGGTTCCGACATTCGTGCGACTAGGTTTTGGACTTCGCAAATGCGTGGCAACTGCCACGAAAGCAGATAGGTTACTCGGGACTTGCAACCTTCGTGTGCACCAATGAAATTTCGTCAAATGTCATAGGGCAAGATACGGTGAAGCGAGGTTATCATATTTGAGGCTAGAATCACAGCACCTAGCAAAAAGTGGGACTCTCAACAGACGCTATCTTTAAATCCCATCAACAGGGCGCTTGTGACTGAACAGCTGATCCTCCGCATAAGGATACTGGCCCGATCGAACAGCTGATCAATCACCCACCGTACAATTTGCTGAGGAAGGGAAATACAAGTTTTCCTAGTCGGAAAAGGCTCAACAAGTTTTCCGTTGCGTGACAGTTTTCCTCACTCTGAGGACTTGTAGCTCGTTGATGTGACTGGCTTATTCGCATATTTCGAAAATATAAATCGAAGCATAGCGGCTAATGTTACATTCTACCTTTTAGTGTGAAATGCTTTTATAAAAAAAATCAGATATGATTATACAAATCTGCCGTCGATGTTACTAAACACTGAATCGGAGCACGCGACAAATTTATTACAATCGAATACAGAAATTAAATGCTCACTTGAGGCTACTCGTCCGAGGAAGTGACGGGTAGCTTCTAATTTCCCTGAAATATTAAGGTCTTAAAAACTGGCAAATTAATTGTAAAATTTCCGTCAGGTATAAATTTTGAATGGGTAACAACACGTTATATGTTATCATTTTCCTAATTCATTTCTTTGAATTGGGATTTATTGGGTTCCGTTTATCAGACGCAAGTCCAGTGTTAAAATCCAACGCAATTTGTACAGTGTTTTAGGTCCTTTCCAAAGAAAAATTTACGAAAACAAACGTCTTAAACATTGATTGTGAAAGCGTTTCAATAACATCCCATGTCGCACAATGGCTTTGTTTTCTAAGTTAAAAAGCTCAGGTATTTTCGCTTATATTTACGCTAAAATTATTGAAAGCCTCATCGGCTCAATAATTTTATCATGTCAAATATTTGGCGCATTTCATCCCAATTTTGAACATAGATAACATCCAAATAATATATAGTATCATCCATAGTCTGTATCATCCAGGGAACAATTCCATTTCGTTTTATCCAGTTTGCTCGTCCATAACGAAGCTGGCGGCATTCGGTAATCATTGCATGACGGTTCTGGACTTCACTAAGAAGCTACAACATATTTTATTTCACCTTTATTCGTTGTTCTGTTGAGCAGTGCCATCAACATCCACAATAAATATTGAATCTTAATGTAAACTCAACGACGCTTTCACAGGCACGTTTTCTATCCGAGCCATGACTGGAAAATGTGGGCAACACCTTATGGAGCATGCTCAGGTAGCGCCCACCAAAACAGCTTATTCACCAGAATTAATGCGGAATCCATTTCCCTAGCCCCGATTCAGTGAAGTCCCAGCATTAGTGGCTCTATCGTATTTATGTTACTGGATTTTCTAACGAGCACCACGGCGTGATTTATCATCCAGGCGGCTCCTGAGAAATGGGCGAAACGCGTACAATTCCGTACTCGAAGTAGGCATTCCGGCAAGGTACGAGGCCGCTTACTATCATATCGTATGCCAAACATAAAACGCTCTCTAAACATTAAATACAGTACGTCTCTGCGAACCTAGCAAGCCTGCAATATCATTTGGCATATTACCAACCACCACTCGTCCAAAAGAACGTAAGTTTATTCTTGTAAGATTTCTAGATCGCCAGGGTGCGTGTCGCCTGACCCCAGTGGGTCTCCGAGCCCGGTCGGCCGGGCCAAATTTGACCCGCAGCGGACGCTGTGGGCCGGCCGGATTCATTACTCAACATGTTTGTGGCGAGCCGGCCGGGCGTTCCGGGCCGGAATTTCGCCCCCGTGTTTACGCACAGCGGGTGAGAGTCGGTCGCGACCGGGGGCCCGTCGAGCTGGGTCGAGCGCTGTCGCCGCTGGTAACATCATCAGTTCGACCCCGATGACCGTTCCGCTGTCGCTCGGGCTGACATTGGTTCTGCCAGTGGTGTTCCTGTCATGAGTCTCAGGAGCCCGGCCGGCACACCCTCCTCCGATGACGCGTCGCGTGGCACTGCTGACGGCTGCCGCCGCTGCGCCGAGCGCTGAACCCCAACCGGGCGCCGCCGCCGCCGCCGCCGGCGCCCGGCCCGTACCTCTAGCGGCGGGGGATGGCGCTCGTGGGATCGCTGGTCGTCCTCGTTGCGCTGGTGCTAGGCTAGTCCGCTGCAGCGCTGCTTCAGTCGCCTCGAGGAGGCTGTTTGGTTAGTCCAGTCGTCAGTCGCTGGTTGACGAGTCTGAACTCGGATAACAGCACAGACTACTCAAGTACTCAGTCCAGTATCAGTCACCAGTCTGCCCAGACTGTCCACTCCAGCAGTCATTCCTCCGTCTGAGCTCGGCTCGGTCGCCAGGCCGGCCACTGTGAGCGTCACGCCGCTGCGGGCAGCTGAGTCAAGGCCGACGCTTCAGCTGTTCCCCCTCCCCGTCCACCCCTCCCCTCCCCACCCGACCGCCCGTCGGAACTGGAGCGCCACTCTAAGGCCGTCGGTTTCGAAAGCGGCCGCTCTTCAGTGCCCAGCGGCTGACGCGGGGCGGTCCGCGGCCCTGCTGGTGGCCCTGTCGGCGGTCCTGCCGTCCCTGAGGACCCTGGTGACCCTGGCCCCCTGGTGCGCCCGATCCCGCCCCCTTCCCCCTTCACCGGCCCCATCGCTGTCCCATGCCACTGCCGCTGTTTCTCAAGACGACGGCAGATGTTGACTCGTCCGCAGGGAGAGAGAGAGAGAGAGAGAGAGAGAGAGAGAGAGAGAGAGAGAGAGAGAGAGAGAGAGAGAGAGAGAGAGAGAGAGAGAGAGAGAGAGAGAGAGAGAGAGAGAGAGAGAGAGAGAGAGAGAGAGAGAGAGAGAGATCCACACCGCCTGTCAAATACTGTCCAGGATATTACCCGGGAAAGCGTTTTCCGAGCCGCTTTGCTTACCAGTATAATGCCGTTATTGCGTTGCTGGCTGCGAGCTTATTCAGATCAGCCACGGAGATGTTTCGTCAACAATTTATTCGCCTGCCTGCATCGCGCTGTATTGAACGGTCGTGCATAGAGTGACGGCGCAAGAAATACCCCTGGTCCCTCTCTCTCTCTCTCCCTCCCCCTCTCTCCCTCTCTCTCTTTCTCTCTCTCTCTCTCTCTCTCTCTCTCTCTCTCTCTCTCTCTCTCTCTCTCTCTCTCTCTCTCTCTCTCGTCCCTCGTCCCCCTCTCTCCCTCTCTCTCTCTCGTCCCTCGTCCCCCTCTCTCCCTCTCTCTCTCTCTCTCTCTCTCTCTCTCTCTCTCTCTCTCTCTCTCTCTCTCTCTCTCTCTCTCTCTCTCGCCCAGTATGGATCGGCCGTCTCGGAGAGGGCGTCTTGGACCCCTGCCGCTCTGCCGGCCTCTCAGGAGTCGACACAATTAATCAGTCGGCCATCGGTGTAAAAACACAGTCATCAGGACCACAGTGCGGCTCCGAGCGCCGACGGGACGCCTGGGATGGGATCCGATGGGATGGGATCGGATGGGATGTGGGACGGAGAGGTGGCCGTTGAACTCTGCCGACTCCCTCGGTTGGTCTGCGCTCGTTTACTGTCGGATCGTGTAGCGGTGTATGTGTCTAGATACTGGTGCTCGGTGGGCCCTGCTGCGGCGGATAGCAGCTCGCTGCTGCAGACTGCTGTAGTATCTTGCGACCAGCTGCAGACTGAAACATTTGCGTCACAGTTTGTAGTGATACCGCCGGCGGTTTCCTGTGACCTGCCGTGTAATCAACTGCGGTGCCTCGCTCGACCGCATTTCTGTGCGGTCGGGGACGGCGGTCCCCAGAGGCGGGCTGTGGTGTCACGACGCCCCCCCCCCAGTCGCCCCTCTGTCATCCCCCCCCCCCTCGCGGCGCCCAGCCACTGCGGTCGCGCTGGCATTGAGAGCTCCCCTGCGCGGCAGCTGCCGACGCGGCGTGGCGCGGCGCGTTTGTCGCGATGCGCCGCGTTGGCCGCCCGGCCGCCGCGCACCACTGGACCCCATCTCCGGCGCGGGGGCGGCGGATGTGACGCGAGCGCGCCGCTTTTCGCCGCGCCGCGCCGACGCACAAACACACGCGGCGCACAGCTTGTCGGCACCCAGCGAGCCGAGCCTCTCCTCTCTTCCTCTTGCCGGCCTTTCGCCGTCCTCTCGTCCTCCCATCCTCCCGTCCAAAGAGGACGAGAGTCCTCCGTCTGCCCTCCCAGTCCGGACCGGTATCGTGTTGGTCCGCCCGACCGTTGGTCCGTTGGTTTGTTGGTCTGCTGGTCCGTTGGTTCGTTAATCCGTGGGTCCGTTGGCCAGTTGGTTTGTTGGTCCCTTCGTTCGCTGGTCCGTTAATCCGTTGGTTCGTTAGTCCGACGTTACATTGTATGGAAGTCTACTGGTCCGTTGGTCCGCTGGTCCGCTGGTCCGCTGGTCCGCTGGTCCGTTGGCCGGTCCGTCTAACCTGCCGCGCGCGGCCGCGGAATGCAGATCGGGTTGATATCTCTCTGCGGCCTGCTGGGACCGTGTCTCGCCTCCCGCCTGTGGCGTCTCCGTCACCATCCCGCCGCCGCCTGATGACGTCCGGTGACGCCCAGTGACGCCGGTGACGCTCCGGGCCCGCTGGGCGACCATAAACAAGAGCCCGGCACCGCAGGCCGTCCTCAGAGTGACCATTGTTCAACGTCTCCCCCCGCCGCCGCCAGCTGTTGGGGGTCCGACCAGTACCCAGCTCAGATGTCGTGCTGTGTCTCTGGTGGACGGCTTATCTTCAGTGGTACGCCGCTCGTGTGAGCGCTGGGCGAGTGGGGTGGGGTGGGTTCGTTCTCGTTTTTTTTTCGACCAGCTGGCGTAACTCGGGTGGAGTTGTC